GCGCGGCGGGGCTCCCCCCGCCCGGCACCGTACCTGGGGCTGCCGGGGCTCACGGGGTGGGGGGGGGCGGGGCCAGCCCTTAAAGGGCCAGGCACCCCGCCAACGCCGCACCGGAGCGCCTTAAAGGGCCAGAGTCCCGGCGGGATGCTACCGCCCGGAGGACGGTCCCGGTCCCGGTCCCGGTCCCGGTCCCTCCCGCCGCCGGCGACATGCCGATGTAGCTGGAGCTCCGCCCGGGTGGCTTCAGCTCTGCGGGTGCAGCCGGTTGGGGGCCGGCGCTGGCGTGTCACCGGGCGCCGTTCCCGTGTCCCCCCGGTGGCTGCACGGCGGCCGGGCTCGTCCCGCCTTTCTCCCGCAGCTCCTGGTTCCCCAGCCCGGTAGCTCCCGCGCTGGACCAGCACGGGTGGCGGAGAGGACGGGCTTTGCCAGTGCCTGCGGCCCGCCGCTTCGTCCTTCTGCGCCTGTGATTCCAAAGGGAGAGCAAACCGCCTGGAAAACCAGAGCTCATCCGTGTATAGCCTCCGAAAGAGTGGGAAAAGCGCAAAGAGGGGGTTGCGTGACGTGTACCGCCTCCTGTGACATTAGGGTGCTAGAAATAAACTTTTTTCAGAATCTAATCCCACCTTCTCCTTTTCAAAAGGAACATGCTGCTCTGCAGGATCCTCTCCAGACTTCCCATCTATCCAAGAACTGATGTCTGGTGCTGTTTTAGGTACTACTCTTTGGCAGCAAGTCTTCTGGAGCACCCTCCTTACAGCTTTCAGCGTATGACAGCTACAGCCGCTTCTGTGCTAGCAAGTAGCACGGCTCAACAGAAGCAAATCTTTAAAGTGGTAAGAGTTGGGGCTGGAAATCCAACATCCACACCAAACATGTTTGGGGAGCTTTACTTTGGATTGTGCCTTCCCTCGTCCCATGGACTGCACACCAATTAGTGGTTGAAATGCATGAGGTGCGCTCCTATGTACAGTACGCCTGCTAGTTTAGCACCACCTGAAAGGAATCTAGTTTTCACACCAAGACTGTTCTGCAGTACAAACCAAAGCCCAGCAAGCGGGGATTACTGGAAGATTCACTCTGAAAGCGCGCTTCAGACACCCATTCAGGCACTGATGTGGAAGTGCCCTACATCTGGCAGGCAGCTGCATTAAGATGGCAACACTTGAAAAGACGTTTACATAGCCACTCTTATATTTACCGCTCTTACACTCTTGCCACTCTCTTCTACATGGACACCAAAGCCGCACATGCTATGTCACGTTGGCACAATACATTCCACATTTCCAGATGTCTGCCTTATGCTATTGTTCCCTACTTGCCTGTAAGTTGTAGTCATCCCAGGACTATGAGTACATTTCCAGAATGAAGCCCCTGGAATGACAAACAAGACTCACCCACTATTACCAAATGCCAATCCTGTATATGCTCAGTGTGATCAAGGTTTAGTAAGAGCACTTGGAGAAAGAGACAGAGGGAGGAGGCTTTTGGACGGAATCCTGAATTACTTTCAAGAAGGACAGACAGACAGTGCTGCTCCTAGGAAAAACAATAGACTGCACAAAGACATGGAGAAGGGGAGTAGGCATTGAGATAAGGCATGGGCAGAAATCCAAAAGCCGTCAGAGACTGAGCAGTGAAGAAGTCAAGATGAAGCAGGTTTGATTTATAAACATGTGTATCAGGCTCTTGGGGTATGCCCATGACACTAGCCTATGATACCCGTCCAGCCTGGCCTACTGGTTCAGGACAGGGACTCTGAAAGACTGCTCTGTAAAAGAACACCCACAGCCTCCCTTCTTCGGTCCGAGCAGCGAGAACAGGTCCCACAGGGAACGCACCCAGGGTCATCGCTGCTGCCTGCAGGGACAAGGCACGCCAAAGAAAAATGTATCGTCTCTTCTTTTCTCTTCCCCTCTTTCTCTTCTCCTGGGAAGACAGTTGCGTTTCCCTGGCTCTTGGCTGCCTTCAGGCTCACCAAGGCTCTTGCAAAGTAGCGCTCATCACTGAACCAGTTCCAACATTAAGCAATCCTTTGATCTTCTGAAAGTGTCGTGCTATCATTTGCACTGGCCTGAAGACAGTGTGTAGGAGGCTTTCAGAAAGCATCTTCCAGGGCTCAGTCACAGTTTGCCATTGCCTAAGAGTGAGGCATGGGTGCCCCTCCACCTGAAGGTACAGAAAGAGACCTTGCAGAGTGAGGCTTTCTAGGGCTTAGACCCAGAGCAAAGGAGACAGAAGGAAGAGTCCCTTACAGTCCCGAAAGACTGTAAGACTAAAGGAATCAGAAGTGGCAGTGGTGGCAGAGCATCCAGGACAACCACAGCTATAGCTGTTGGTGGATAAGTGTAGAAGATTTTAGAAATTTAGGACTATACGTATCCTGCTGAAGCCACAAGTATTTCTGTTTGCAGGTGGAAAGCAAAGGGTCTGATCTAAAGTCAGCAGGAAAAGGAGCAAAGTCAACAGACCCTTGCATGCAAAGTGTAAATATTTTGGCAGTAAGAACTGAAATATCAGGGGGCCTCAATAACTCTCAGAGAGGTGAGAAAAGCAAATTGTACAGTTCCTGAAAAGGCTATTCTGGGCTCTGCATCCTTCAGCCAGCCTGAGTTTGATAGTAGCCAGTACTCTGCTGAAGGTCCTGGGCCTGATGGGGACCAGTGACAAAATGGAGGTCTCTGCCTAGCTATTCCCCATCCTAACTTTGTGAAATTCATTATTTTTTTCCAAGTGCAGAACTTTGCACATGCTTTTATTAAATGGTGTTCCACTCTTTCAGGCCATCTCTCCCATTGATCATGATTATTTGAATACTAATTTTGTCTTCCAGATATGTTGCAGCCCCTCTCAGGTTAGTGTTGTCTGCAAATTTAATGGGCACACTTTCTAGTCCACTGTATAAATCACTGAAGAAACTATTAATACCACACTGAGAGCAGATCTCTGCAGGACTCCTCCTTGATACTTTTTCTCCAGATAGACAGCGTACCATTGAAAACTAAACTTGGAGTTTTCTAATCAGCATCAGACTCTCCTAACAGTGATCCCGTTTCCCATGTTTCCTAGCTTGTTTGTAAGACTGTCAGATGAAACAAAACAGAAATCCTTACTGAAGTCAAAATATATAACATCTATTGTTACTTCCTTAGCCACAAGGTCTGTTAGTCTACCATGAAAGATTGCTTTGACTTGATTTCTTTTTTTGGCAAATGGAAAATCAGAGTTGTCTACTTAAAGTTTATTTATTTGTTCCAGTATTACAGGGGAGGCAGTAAAGTAATGCTGGCTGGCCAGTAATTCCTCAGATCCCCCCCCCCCCCCATCTTTTTTTTTAAATAGCCAATATATTTGGCCTTTTCCAGTCTTCTGAACCTCTCCATTCTCTAGAGATCTCAAAGATAACTGCCAGTGGGCCTGACATTGCTTCAGCCAGTTCTCCAACCATCACAGAATGAGTTTCATCAAGCCTAACTGGTCTGAAAGTATTGACTTTGCTTAAGCACTTAGAAATCTAGAATGACGCTTACCCACTTGTCTATTGGTGCTATTTAAGGTATTCACCTAGCCACCATCACAGTGGAGACAAGTGAAAAATACTTGCAACTTCTTGGTATCTTTGGCCGGTTTTCCATTTCACTGACCAGAAGGCCAATCCTTTTACTGGTCTTCCCCTCGCTGCCCAGGCACTATTGACGGGCTGATAGTTCTTTTCTTCTCCACCACAGATAAGGTAATTACTCCTTTCCCCTTTGACATATTTCTGTAGGGACTTGAAGTCAGTTGCCACATCTCCCCCAGTTCCTTCTTCTCTGGACTACACGCTGCAATTTTTTCAGTCCTGCCTGGATGGCCCCAGTGAGTCGTTCCCCTCTGTGGGTTCACTCCCCCACATTTGCCCATTTTGTCCCCAAACCGAACACTCAGTCGCTCGGTTCTGCGAGTGCTGAAGTCACAGCAGTACAGCGTTGATCTGACCGCTTATTTCATCTGACTTACAGGCTATCGATCCCTCTAGCCACGCAAACCGGTACGGTGCGTTGCCTTTTCGGCAACAGCGGGACGTTGACGTACGTTGCGCTTTTTTCCAAGGAAGAGGGTGTTCTGCGAGCCCCGACACCACCTGAAACTTCGCCTTTTCAAAAGCAACTAGAGGATCTATCTTTCGGCCCTGACTATTCCCCAGCTTTGACGTACTGATCCTTCAAACTTCAACAGGAGGGGGTCTAATTTGCTCTGAGGCGCTTGTGGTCTTTTGGGGTTTTCTTGTCTGAAACACATTGGCCTGTCTTCATACAAAACCCAAACACCCGAGGAAGCCCCTGTGGCCGCACCGAGCGACGACGAGAGTCCCACAGACCCAGGCGAAGCCCCCGGGCCCCCTCAGAAATGGCGGCGGGGCCGCCTCCCTCCTCACAGGGCCCGCCCTCCTTCCCGCCCGCCGCCGCCTCCCGGGCGCCTCCTCCGGAGCCGAAGCGCGGGGCGGCGGGGCCGGCGCGGCCGGCTGCGCGTCAGAGCGCCGGGCCATGGCGCAGCACAGCACCCTGCTCCACCTGCTCGCCGGAGGGTGAGTGGCCCCGAGCGGGACGGGGACGGGGGGCCGAGGCTTCGCTGGGCCTCGCTGTCTTCCCGCTGCCGGGCCGGGGTCTCCCTCCCGGCTCGGCCTCGCCGCGGCCCGCCACCGTGAGGAGCGAGGCCTGCGGCGGCCTGCCCCGCTGCAGCCGGCGGAGAGGAGAGCCTGCCTTGCCCCGCGCCAGCCCCGTAACCCTCAGCCGCCCCTTCCGTGCGGTGCCGGCTTCCAGCGGAGGGGCAGCGGCGTGGCCCGGCCGGGGTGAACGTGTGGCTCTGCGGTTTGGGAAGAAGGGGAGTCGGGGGGGGCTTGGCCTGGCGTGTCACCCAGCCTGAGCTTACCGGGGGCGGGGGGGCAAGGGAAGCGGGGTGCTGAACGGGGGAATGAGGGGCACGGCCGGGTCTCCGCAGGCATCCTTGTCTTCGGGAGGGCAGGCAGCCCTCCGTCGTCCCGTGGCGGAGGTTCCCTGCCCGTCTTCTCTGGCTTTGGGGGAGGCAGGTGTTTGGGGAGTGGGTCCCGGCAGTGCCTCTGAATTCGCAGCGAGACCCTTGAGGGAGTCCTTTCTCGCCTGGCGTTTCACCCTTCCTCTCTTTAAGAAACACTGAAGTCTCAAAACGACAAGCTTTAAGTTTATGATGTCCTAAAGCAGAAGATGTTGTGGTCCTCCGGCCCTCGCTGCGTAACTGCAGGACTCCCTTGCCCAGACAGCCACCGAATCCCTTTCAGAATTCCACCAGCCTGTTGGAGTCCGTGTGACAGTGAGGTCTGCGGTATAGCGTGTGCAATAAAGCACATCATTTACTTGCTCTTAATTAGTAAATTTCCAGCTTGCTGCGGCTAATGCAGTTGATGTGCTATGTTGATCTTTGCCTATACGTAGTTGGCCCTCTCTGTTCCCAGTGTTATTTTGTATATGTTATTCTCTTTTATTAATTTATCCTTTGAACTATATGGTCACTGCATCTTAGCCCTTCTTAATATACTTCTTCACATTTCTTAGCTTTCTTCTTAAGCTTTTCCTCATCCTCATTTTCTGCTTTGGTTCCTGAAAACCTGTGAGAGTTCGGCTAGTGACAGGAGTGTCGCTAGTGGGAGCTTTGTCAGTCTGTACCCTGTCCTTGCCCATTAAGCAATAATCCTTGAATTACAATTAATTAAAACCCAAGAGATGAATAAGAAGTTCAGGTTATTCCTGCAGTATATAGTTAATATTACTGTTTTACCTAATGAAGCAGGTCTCATTGATGAAGGAACAGTTGTTCACTTTATCTTCTAGTACGAGAACTGGGGACCATCAAATGAAACTTGCGAGAGGTTTGTTCAAAACTAACGCAGGAACACAGCTCTTAACACAGTGTGCAGTTAAACTGAGGGACTCGTGGCAACAGGATATTAGAGGGTAAAAGCTTTTTATGCGTCCAGCAAGCATTTTAAAAAGATTAATGAAAAAGAATGTATTGAAGGCTCTTAAATGCAATGCAGTGTTTCTGGCTGAGGAAATCCCTGAGATGAAAATTGCAGGAAGCTGGGAGAGTGTTTTGGAGAGGAGTATTTCTCCTGATCTTCCGTAGGGGATCTTTATTTGCCTGTGTCCTAGGCAGAATCCTGGTTTAACTGCAGGTGAACAGCATTGCTATCCTTAAATGAAGATCTTTGAGCCATCTCAACTTTTGGTTAGCCTAAGTAAGGGCTAAAATGTGAATTACCAGTAAACCTCGTCACCTCTGTGCATGTTCTCATACCCTTTTCAGATCACTGAAAAAATGTTAATGCTGTTTTTTTTATTTCTCTCAGCTAATCCTCTTTTTTGGCCACCTCAAACTTTCCAGTTTTCCTTTTAGAATGTGAAAGCAAGGTCTATAGGCAAGTACTCTTTTCTAAGGTAAAATTACCTGCCTTCTTCAATTAGCTCTTTTTGCCACTGCTTTGCTCTGGGAGTACATGTTGTACTGGTTGTCAGCTGCTGCTCTTCATCAGATTTTGCAGGAATTGCTTTTGTTCATGCTCCTAGAGTAATGAATGACTTCAGGGCTTTGGTTTCGTTAAACTGGTCTCTTTAAGCCCAGCGTAAGGACCCTTGGTGACTGCTCAGTTCCATGGTTTTTTTCATTATTTGCCAGTCGTTGCAGCTTTGCTCAGTACTGTGTCAATCTTTGTCACCCATGGATTTTATCAAGAGTAAGGTATTGCCTCGTGTCTGTTGGTGGAAAAACTGAAAATTTTTAGGTCTAGTCTAGAAGTGATTTTCCTAAACTCTTGCTGGACTGCTGCTGCTTGATTCTTTACTGACAACTGGTTTCAGGGCAGGGAAAGACTGGGGCTGGTATTTTTTTTCTTCTTTTTGAGATTTTATGGTCTGATTTCAATCCATCTCTAGCATCTGTGCTACAGACAGAGCGCTAAGGCTCTAAGTATGTTTTTGTGAGATATCAAGCTCACTTTTTGCAAAACTGAGGTATGTTACATCTTTGTAGTTGCTTTTGTGAATCCAGCTTTTGTTTGGTAAGTTCCATAAAAAACCCCAACAATATAGCCCCCATCCACTCCCAACATTGATTGGTACAAAGTGCCATTTAAGTCTATAGTGATCTGATTCCGTAATTCTCTTCTGGCATGAATCTCAGGTCATATAACCGTGTAACCTTAGCAGCATGAATTATTACAAACACACTTTTTTTTTAGTCCTGGTAGACATTAGAACTCTTCTAGGCTAGTATATTTCCCCAGTCCCCTAACATTTCTTAAGCATTTAAATGTGTAGGTATGAAGTCTCCTTAATCGGCTATTTTTAATATCCATGGCCATGAGGGGTTTGTGCCTGCTGATTTTAAAATGTTTGTTCTGACTGGATTTTGTTCAATTTTGCCTTCATTAGTATTGGACTGAAAAATAGTTAATCTCTGTGACGAGAGTATGTAATTTTCTATTTCTCCTGAAACAGAAGAGTTTTGGAGACCTATGCCTTTCATACATTGTGAGCAGCTGTACCATAATGTAGCACATGGTAAGACATCATAGTTGAGATTTCTTCTGGTTTTGAACAACTGATACACCTTATTTCCTTAGCTTTGTTTAGTCAATGTTTTCTGCTCCCTGAAAAATCTTCCTTAGTCTCACCATTGAGCCGTAGTGGCTCAGAAGTCCCCCTTCACCTTGGACTCTCTTACTGCTGATTAAATGACCACCATGCTAAGGAGTAACAATTTCGTTAACTCTTATTATTGCTTTTAAAATTCTTCTCTATTATCTATACATATCAGTAGCTTGAGGAACTTGAACTCAGGAAAATCTTGTATGTACTGGAGATGTGGGTTCAAATTCATATCCTGACCGTGCTCAGGTAGGGACTTCTTGAAGAAATGAGATACTATGAAAACATTACATAAAGTTGTGCCTCCTTATGCACTGTTAGAGAGAAAAAATCTTGAGGATACCAAGCAATTGCTTTTCTAAATGTTGTCCTGTTGTAGTGTTTGCTCAGCTTTTAGATAAGAAGTTGGAACTGCTCTATTCAGACTTCTTAGACATCTGTCACCACTGCATTCAATCTTCTGCACTGGAAACTACACTTCTGGTCAAGAAGACAATGGGCCTGTAAGTCTGGAGCCCGTATCAGGCAAATTAGTAGAAACTACGGTAAAGAGCAAGACTGTTGGTCCCCTGAATGAATACGGTCTATGTTGGAAGAATCAACGTGGCTTTTGTAAAAGGAGGCCCTGCCTCATGCAACTCCTGGATCGATGCGTAGGCTGTCTTGATCAGCTTGTTCATCCAGAGAACCTGATCCAGGACATTTACGGCTTTGCTTTGTGTTGTCTTCTGAGCCCGAGCTAAGTTCTTTGGTCATGTTCCACCTAATCCCAGACTCCCACTGCTCATCATATCTCCTGAGGGAAAATGCCTCTGATCAGCTGCTCTGCAAGTCATCACCACTGTGCAAATCTGCAAAGGGCTTGACAAAGAGCATAAGTGTAATGGGGTAGCGTAACTAGTTCCTAGTTGCTGGTATCGTTAGCTGCGTAACCTTCTAGCTGCCAGATCTTCCAACTCTTGGACTTCATTGCAATAGGCATCCATGTGTCTCTCCCCCCCCCCCCCCCCCCCCCCCCAC